GATCCACTCTGAAAATTTTCACCTTTTTATTGGTGTTATCAATTGCATTAAAAGTAATTATTTATACAGTTGAATAAATATCTAACATACTCATTCTCTTTTCTATCTGTTGTCCTTGTTCTTTATTGTTATTTTTGTCTTCCACTCTTTTTCTGCCTCTTGTGGTTTTAATTTGGTGTTTTGTATGATGCCATTTTCTCTCATTTCTTAGCCTATCATTTATAATTTTTTCTTTATAACTTTTTGTTGTCTGTAATTTGGAATATACTTTTATAACTAATTCCAATATATTTTTAAATAACACCATACCACTTTATGGGTAATGTAAGTACTTTATAAGAACAAAATTGTCCTAATTCCTTCCTCCCACTTCTTGTATTATTGCTACCACCAACTTCACATGTTATAAGCATACATGCATGTGCACACGAAGTATATACATAAATATACATAATGAGATACATTATTGCTCTCATTTTGAACAAATTTTTCTGGTAGGTCAATTAAGAGTAAGCAAAAGAAATGTTTTTATTTTCTCTTCACTTATTCCATGTTCTTTTCTTTATGTAGATCCAGTGTTCTCTGACATATTTAAAAAATGGTCCTTTTTCTCCTCTTTCTGACAGAAGCCTGAGGGAATTTTTCTCTGATATTTACTGTGGAAATCTGATCAAGTTTCTAGAGGCAAATATTATTACTGTATTGTGGACCCTCCAAGACAGGCCCTTAAGAGTTTTTAAACCCTTCTTGTTGCCCACACCGTTCCTCTAGCAATTTGTCAGTGACAGTCAGGTTTTTCTACCCTGGCACTAGTTCCCGAAGCCAGTTTCAATCATGAGCCTCTGCTAGGCCAGACTCCCTGCACAGTCATGGGAGACATGCTTTGCCCTGTGACCTCGTTTCTGTGACAGATCTGAGACTTGTTGACTTTTTCAGTCTGATCAGTTTTTTACTTATTAGAACAGTGTTGATTTCTAAACTCCTTACATATGGAACCCAAAATTAGAAGTCCCTATTCAGTCAAATAGTTATTTTGTTTTAAAAGTCAACCTCATAGAAGTTAGCTCAATGCAAGCTCACTATAAGAAATAACTGCAAAGATTCTACCCCCTAAGTCATAAGACTTAGATTTGACTTTCAACTCATGTAACCATAAGTAGTTCCTCTTACTGTTTCGTGCTTCAATGTCTCCATCTGTGACCTGGGGATAATGATGGTAATTGTTCTAACAGGTAGCTACGAGTCTTATTAATGAAGAACAAAATGATAAAAGAAAGGATATGTGAAAAGTTGCTGAGAGAGTAGATCTTAAAAGTTCTCATCACAGGAGAAAAGTATTGGGTTAAGGAAGTATAGTTCAGAAATAAAAGTATACATTTGTAAAGACAATAAGATGAAGGAATACACATTTTAAAAAAAAAGATCAGCAGCTCAAAGATGTCCCCAAGGATCTGATTTCTTTCTGTTTGTCCTGCCATTCTCAGTGTAAGCATCAAAAGTATACATTTGTAAAGACAATAAGATGAAGGAATACACATTTTAAAAAAAAAGATCAGCAGCTCAAAGATGTCCCCAAGGATCTGATTTCTTTCTGTTTGTCCTGCCATTCTCAGTGTAAGCATCAGCCAAGTGTGGCTCCCTTTGGGCCCGTAGGATGGCTGCCCCTGGCTAGTAGGGCCGTATACTACCCTAAAGTTGGGGTTGGAGGAGAGACAGAGAGGAAAAGGAGAAGAGGGAAAGAGAGAAGGAACAACCAAAGATCCAGAGATAAGAGAGGTCAGAGAGGAAGAGAGAAGGAGGGAGAGAGAGAAGAAGAGATTTAAAAAATAAAGTGCAAATGTAGCTATGTAAGGAACACAGTTTGCTCTAAGTAAAAAATAATCTCTCAGTAAATATCTCTGGAATTTCTCAGGCAAAAGTTAACTGCCTAACAGTGATCCCAGGAAGAAACTTCTGACATGAGGGACAAGGGAAGAAATGACATCCATATAGAATGACCAAATAATTTATCATTCATATTGGAAAAATGAAAGTGAATGAATGGAGCACAGTAATAATGAAGATGGACAATACTTGTAAATATGGATGGCCCCTGGCAAAAAATGATATATGGTCTCCCAGACTCTTAAGTTCCTTTCACTCTTCTGACTTAGAGATGAAGACATAACAATACACAACAACATAATTTTCAGAAAGTTTGAATGACCTTTTATGGAGAGTAAAGCATGAATTCTTTGTCTAAGAGATGGAAAATTATGGCTCTGGCAGCAAAAATTTAAGTCCAAAAACTAGTCACATGGACTAAATCTAAAGGCCAACTCTGGACCTATCCCTGTTTTTGATTATATAAGACTGAAAAGCAGATACTTAGAAATAAAATAATTAAATTAGAAATATAACAATGATGAAAAAACTTAAAACCTAGCTCAAATGCCATATCAGAATATTACAAAGCAGATCCAGGATTAAATGGTAACATTAGCATAATTGTAGATATCCCAAACACACGGGGAAAATCCAATTTGTGTAACGAAGAAATAAGTACAATTTGTAGGCATACAGAAGGTAATCGAGAAACTAAGGAAATAGAATGCCTAGAATCAGAAAGTTTACTTGCTTAAGGTAAATTATTACTTTGTGCTGTCAGCTGAAAAGAGAGCTATAGGATTTGCAATTTCTGTTTGATTAACTGGCCTAAGGAAACTCCTTACTGTTCTCATCACTCGGCAAGAGGTGTGGGCTCATGAAGCAGAGATTCACTTAGTCTGCTCCCAGAGCTGTGCTGCATTTAACCTGGAGTGCAACACCTAACCTGGAGTGCACACCCTTACTGAACCTGCTCTGATACACCTAAGGGCAGAGCAAGGGCAGAAATGGAAAGACATCAAAAAGAAGTGACGTGTGAGACAAGCATCTCTTTTGTATGGCTATCCTTTTCATTTTAATTATAAAAGGGTAGGATCAAACAAATCAAGGTCTTTGTTTTCTAGTCTTTTAGTTCTGGGTAACTTAGATACTCTAAATTTAAATAATTTCAAAATATTTCACTTCTTTGAAAAATGTTTATTTGCTTTTGTGAAAAATGTGACAATACCTATGACAACAGTACCAATAAAATATTAGAAAATTGTCAGGATGTTATTTCTCTGATGTAATTATGGAATCTGAAATAAACAATATTTATCATAAGCATTTGCAACAAACAATATTGGTTACACAAAATACTGATAATGATACAAAGTTCCATTATCATAATTTCTATAATAGACTCAACCACAGTGGGCTACTTCTGAAAGACTGGTCTCAACCAAATAACCAGTTTTTTATTTATATACTTTTGTAAACAAAGGAAATTCTTCACCCCTAATTTCTTATTCCAGGAATTAGTCATTTATTCATTAACTCCCCAATTTATTTTATATTTCTGACATTTCTTCCAGTTGCTTGGTTTCCTTGCATCTCTATCTGCAGCTGAGGACATCAGGCTTTTGCTTACAAGGCCACCTGCAAATTTCCACTTTGTCTTTCCAGAGTAATGGTTACAGGATTCACTAACAACACTCCTGCAACTACATACCCAGTACCACTGCCATGTCATTATTCTCTTTCCAGAACTTTCACTAACCTTCCAGAGTTTAGTTTTTTTATCTCTTAGATATGGTAGAGCTACTAATCAACATATCTGTTTAGGTGAAAAATTACATAAACAAAACTGGCAGGTGCATATCTGCATCTTCTCATCTCTATTTTTACTTCTTTCTTCATTAAGTTGAAAAGAAGCAATCTCTTAGTCACAGATTTTATTAAAATTCTCCATTCTCTGAGGTCAAATCCTGGCCTCAACAGAGGGGGATGTGGAGTTGTGCAAATGTAGCAGAGGTGGTTATTTACTCCCTTGATTGACAGCCTCCTCAAGAGGAGTAACACTCTACTGACTGTATTGTGACCTCCATACATTCAATTATTCATTTGACACATTTATTATGCACAAGCATAATAATAAAAATATGTAATAGTCATTAGACCAGACCCTGGAAAAGCCCAGTCCCATGGAGTATAGAACATTAAATGATGATATAAATAGTTCCTTATTAAAATGTGTCTGAATGAGGAGGTAGGAAGGTGGCAGGATAGGAGGTCACTGTGATAACCTCCTCCCACATAAAATCTGTCTGAATGAAAAGTAAAGGATGCTTGTACAAAGTAAAAAATGAGTTCCCTGAGGAAATGATTTTAAGGTACAACCTGAAAGATACGTTGTTTTTAAACTAATGGAGAGAGGAGAATGTAGAGAAGCCCAGCAAATATTTTGATTTAGGAGGTGAACAGTGAGGTAGATAAACATACCACACAGAGGTCAGGGTGGCAGTTTTTAGGTTTATGTTCTTACTCAAGGACCGTTATTATTTCTGTTACATTTTACCAATTATGACAAGTTTTTAAGGAAAGTTTTATGTTTTAGCTCCTTCAGTACAAAATGAATTTATTTAAAACCTGATTCACTTAAATAATGAAAATATGAAGGTAATGATCCACACTTACTTAAAGAGGCTTTTAAAAATATAAAGCAGAATTTTAAATCACAGAAATCTCCATAGGTAAGAACCATTATTAACCCATTTCCCTGACTCACTGGATTAACTAATTCTCTCCATCTTCTCTCTGAAACATACTGAAGTCTTTTCAGTGCCTTGAGCAGACCTGTGGAAGTAGTTCTCCAGCCTGTCCAAACAATTCTGTTGCCTGAAGTTTACTTGAAGGCAATTAATAGATTGTTGTGTGTGTTCCCAAACTGTTCTATATCAAGTAACTTAGTATAATTGCATAATATAATTAAATACTACTTAACTAAAAATAAATATATGTGTTATATCTATGGTAACTAAGTTGAATCTTTCAAAAGTTTTACAGAGATGAGCTAATTTTTAAAAAAGCTGTCTAATTAAGTGTGGGTGAAGTAACAATAAAAGCTTGAGGAAAAATGTTAAATAATTCTGCATGTGCTTGCTTCAGCAGCATATAGACCAAAATTGGAACAATACAAAGATTAGCATGGCCCCTGTGCAAGGTGACACACAAATTTGTGAAAGAGTTCATTAAAAATAATAAAATAATAAAAATAAAACCAGATATAATAGAGAAGTTACAACTGACACCACAGAAATACAAATGCTTATAAAAGAATACTACAAAAATTTATATGTCAAAAATTGGACAACTTAGAAGAAATGGAACATTCCTAGGAACATTCAAATTTCCAAGACTAAACCAGAAATAAATAGAAAATCTGAACAGACCAATTACTAGTAATGAAATTGAATTGGTAATCAAAAAACTCCAAACAAACCAAAATCCAGGGAAAAAAGACTTCAAAGAATTGTAATGAATATGTAAATAAGAGCTAATACCTATATTTCTCAAACTATTCCAAAAAATTGAGGAGGAGGGAAGGCTTCCAAATTCATTCTATAAGGACAGCATCACTCTGATACCAAAACTAGACAAAGATGCTACAAGAAAAGAAAATCACAGTCCAATATCTCTGATGAGCATGGATGCAACAATCAACAAAATATTAGCAACCAAATTAAAAAATGCATTAAAAGGTTCATGCTCTCTGAACAAGAGGGATTTATTCCAGGAGTAAAAGGATCTTTCAATATCTACAAGTAGATATTGTGATTAATGTGATATACCACATTAACAAAAGGAAGGATAAAAACCATATGATCCTCTCAATAGATGCTGAAAAAGCATTTGACAAAATTCAACATCCCTTCATGATATAAACTCAACAAAATGGGTGTAAGAGGGAACATATCTCAGCATAATAAAGGGCAGATACAACAAAAACACCTCTAATGTCATATTCAATGGTGAAAAACTTTCAACTTTACCTCCAAAATCAGTATCAAGATGAGGATGCCCACTCTTTACCACTTTTATTCAACATAGCACTGGAAGTCCTAGCCATAGCAACCAGGTAAGAAAAATAAATAAAATACATCAAACTGGTAAGGAAGAAGTTAGATTGTCACTATCCACAAATGACATGATACTATATATAGAAAACCCAAAAGGCTCCACCAAAAACCTACTAGAAAAAGAATTCAGTAAAGTCACAGGATACAAAATCAATATACAGAAATTTGTTGTACTTCTATATACAAATAATAAACTAACAAAGAAATTAAGAAATCATTTCCATTTATAATTGTATCAAAAAGAACAAAATACATGGGAATAAATCTAGTTAAGGAGATGAAAGATCTTTATTCTGAAAACTATAAGGCACTGATGAAAGAAATTGAAGACAAATAAATGGAAAGATAGTTTGTGCTCATGGATAGAAGTAATATTGTTAAAATGGTCATACTACACAAAGCAATCTATAGATTCAATGCAATCCCTATCACAACACCATTAACATTTTTCACAGAACTAGAGCAAAGAATCCTAAAATTTATATGGAATTACAAAAGACCTTGAATATCCAAAGCAATCTTGAGAAAGAACAAAGCTGGAGATATCATGATTTCAAACTACAGTGCAAAGCTACAGTCATCAAAACAGTATGATACTGGCACAAAAAAGAGACATATGGATCAAAGGAACAGAATAGAGAGCCCAGAAATAAGTTCATGCCTATATGGTAATTAATCTATGACAAATGAGGCAAGAATACACAATAAGGAAAAAGCAGTCTCTTCAATAAATGGCGTTGGGAAAACTGTACATCTGTACACAAAAGAATGAAATTTGGATCACTGTGTTACACCATACATAAAAATAAACTCAAAGTGGATTAAAGATCTTAATATAAAACCTGAAACTATGAAAATCCTAGAAGAAAACAGGCAGCATACTCTTGAACAACAGCATTAGTAATTTTTTTCCAGACATGTTACCACAGACAAGGGAAACAAAAGCAAAAATAAAGAACTGGGACTACATCAAACTAAGTAGCTTCTTCACAGCAAAGGAAAGCATCAGTAAAAGAAAGAGCAACCTAATGAAGAGGAGATATTTTCAAATGATATATCTGAGAAGGCGCTAATGTCCAAAATATACAAAGAACTCATACAAGTCAACACATTAAAAAACCCAACTAATTAAATTAAAAAATAAGCAGAAGACCTGAAGAGATAGTTTTTCAAAGAAGATATACAGATTGCCAAGAGCCCCATGAAAAGATGCTCAGCATCACTAATCATCAAGGGAATGAAACCAAAATCTCAATGAGATATCACCTCACACCAGTGAGAATCGTAACTATCAAAAATACAGGAAATAACAAGTGTTAATGAGGATGTGGAGAAAAGGGAACCTTCCTACACTGTTGGTGGAAATGTAAATTGGTTCAGACACTATGATAAGCAGTATGGAGTTTATGAAAAAACTAAAAAGAGAAATACCATACAACCCAGCAATTCCACTTCTGGGAATTCACTCTATGAAAACAGAATCATGAATTTGAAAATAAACATGCACTCCTATGTTTATCACAGCATTATTTATAATAGCCAAGGTATGGCAGCATCCTAAGTTCCATTGACAGATGAATGGATACTTATATGTGGTACAAATACACAATGGAACACTACTTAGCCATAAAAAAGAAATCTTGTCACTTGCAACAACATGGATGGATCTACAGGGTATTGTGCTAAGTGAAATGAATCAGACAGAGAAAGACAAGTACCATATAATTTCACTTACAGGCGGAATTTTTTTTTAATGGGTCATTTGTCTCTGAAATTTTTTAAATTTTTTATTAATGGATAATTGATATACACTCTTATGTAGGTTTCACATGAAAAAAAAATGTCGATAATACATTCACCCATATTAGCAAGTCCCCACCCATACCCCAATGCAGTCACTGTCCATCAGTGCAGCAAGATGCCACAGATGCACTATGTACCTTCTCTGTGCTACACTGTTATCCCTGTGAACCCCCACACCATGTGTACTAAACATAATATCCCTCAATCCCCTTCTCCTTCCCTCCCCACCCACCCTCCCCCACCCCTCCCCTTTAATAACCACTAGTTCATTCTTGGAGTCTCTGAGTCTGCTACTATTTTGTTCCTTCAGTTTTGATTCATTGTTATACTCCACGAATGAGGGAAATCATTTGGCATTTGTCTTTCTCCGCATGGCTTATTTCACTGAGAATAATGTCCTCCAGCTCCATCTATGTTTTTGCAAATGGTAGGATTTGTTTCTTTCTTGTGGCCAAATTGTGTATATGTACCACATCTTCTTTATTTATTCATCTACTGATGGACACTTAGGTTGCTTCCATATCTTGGTTATTGTAAAAACTGCTGTGATAAACATATGGGTGCATATGTCTTTTTGAATCTGAGAAGTTGCATTCTTTGGGTAAATTCCAAGGAGTGGGATTCCTGGGTCAAATGGTATTTCTATTTTTCTTTTTTTGGGGAACCTCCATATTGCTATCCACAATGGTTGAACTACTTACATTCCCACCAGCAGTGTAGGAGGGTTCCCCTTTATCCACATCCTCACCAGCATTTGTTGTTCTTAGTCTTTTTGATGCTGGCCATCCTTACTGGTGTGAGGTGATATTTCATTGTGGCTTTATTTTGCATTTCCCTGATTATTAGTGATATGGAGCATCTTTTCATGTGTCTGTTGGCCATCTGAATTTCTTCTTTGGAGAACTGTCTCTTCATATTCTCTGCCCATTTGTTAATCGGGTTATTTGCTTTTTGGGTGTTGAGGCATGTGAGTTCTTTATATATTTTGGATGTTATCCCCTTGTCGAATATGTCACTTACAAATATATTCTCCCATACTGTAGGGTGCCTTTTTGTTCTGTTGTCAGATATGTCATTTAAAAATATATTCTCCCATACTGTAGGGTACCTTTTTGTTCTGTTGATGGTGACCTTTGCTGTATAGAAACTTTTTAGTTTGATGTAGTCCCATGAGTTCATGTTTGCTTTTCTTTCCCTTGCTCAAGGAGATGCATTCAGAAAGAAGTTGCTTATGTTTACCTTCAGATGTTTGCCTGTGTTGTCTTCTAAGAATTTTATGGTTTCATGACTTACATTCAAGTCTTTGATCCATTTTGAGTTTACTTTTGTGTATGTGATTAAACAATAATCCAGTTTCATTCTCTTGCATGTTAGCTGTCCAGGTTTGCCAACACCACCTGTTGAAAAGGCTGTCATTTCCCCATTGTATGTCCATGGGTCCTTTATCGTATATTAATTGACCATATTTAGTTGGGTATATATCAGGGCTCTCTAGTCTGTTCCATTGGTCTATAGGTCTGTTCTTGTGCCAGTACCAAATTGTCTTGATTACTGTGGCTTTGTAGTAGAGCTTGAAGTTGGGGAGCGTAATGCCCCCAGCTTTATTCTTTCTTCTCAGAATTCCTTTGGCTATTCATGGTATTCTATGGTTCCATATGAATTTTAAAATGATTTTCTCTAGTTTGTTGAAGAATGTAGTTGGTATTTTGATAGGAATTGCATTGAATCTATAGATTGCTTTAGGCAGGATGGACATTTTGACAGTATTAATTCTTCCTATCCATGAGCATGGGATAAGTTTCCATTTATTGGTATCTTCTTTAATTTCTCTTAAGAAGAGCTGGTAGTTTTCAGGGTATAGGTCTTTCACTTCCTTGGTTAGGTTTATTCCTAGGTATTTTATTCTTTATGGTGCAACTGTGAATCAAATTGTTTTCCTGATATCTCTCTCCGCTACTTCATTGTTAGTATATAGGAATGCCACAGATTTCTGTGTATTAATTTTGTATCCTGCAACTTTGCTGAAATCAGATATTAGATCTAGTAGTTTTGGAGTGGATTCTTTAGGGTTTTTTATGTACAATATCATGTCATCTGCAAACAGGGACAGTTTAACTTCTTCCTTGCCAATCTGGAGGCCTTTTTTTTCTTTGTGTATCTGATTGCCATGGCTAGGACCTCCAGTACTATGTTGAATAGAAGTGGGGAAAGTGGGCATCCTTGTCTTGTTCCTGATCTTAAAGGAAAAGCTTTCAGCTTCTCGCTGTTAAGTATGATGTTGACTGTTGGTTTGTCCTATATGGCCTTTATTATGTT